GCCTATTGCCTATTGCCTATCGCCTATTGCCTATTGCCTATTGCCTATCGCCTATTGCGTATCATCACCTATCGCCTTTGGCGATGACGTTTTTAAAACAAGTGACAGTGTTGTTCACCAATACCGAAAAAAAGAGTAAGCTAAAAATTACCAAAACCACGCCATTTCTTCGTATTACTGGCGAGAATGTGCGCAATTTGGTTTTTATTTGAAAAGATTAACTTTTGGAAACGCCATGTTTGTTGCAGTCTTTAATTAGTTGAAAGTTTTTCATGGGTACCAGTCTAGTATAATACACTACCTTGTGTACATTCGAAAACACGTTCCTGTTGCTGTTCTACCGGCCCTGCCTTTCCTTTGAATTGCTTCAGATCTGCAGATGAAAGTTTTCTTGTTAAGAACAAACGGAAAACGGACTTATGAGTAAAGTTGCCTGAACATTAAATCATCTCTATTAAAGCCAATATTACTAAACTTACCTTGATATTAAAACAACATTAAGAGAGTCGAGACCTGTCCTACTATTACATGACAGTTGCTTCACAAAACCACTGTCAACAACATATCTGCAACAATAACAAAAATTACAGATGATTCAGACTTAATTTCTTTTATTGTAATTTGTAGTGAAATAGAATTTCGAAACTAGAAATGATGAGCGCAAACATTCCCGCGAACGTACTTAATCTACTAACAGTATTCTCAGCTTCAACAATCGAAGGTTAGTAGCGACAGAGAGTTTCGAAGCAAATTTTTTTTGGACAAAAATTGTCCTGCAAAATAGTGCTTATCAGTTTAGAAATTCATTTTTTATTGAATATTTCGCTTTCATATAAAACATTTTCTTTTCACTAAAAAAAACATACATAAAAACTAGAAATGCACTGTGACTGAAGCATGTCCTTCGTCTTCATTAAGTTTTTCTGCTTCGAGAAGATCCTAAAGCCCCGTTCAGAGGCGTAGCGAGGGGGGAGAGGAGGGGTGATGATGCACGGGGGGGGGGGGGGGGGGGGGGGGGGGGGGGGGGGGGGGGGGGGGGGGGGCACGTGTCCCCCCAAATTTTTAAACAACTTTTTGAAAAAAAAACAACAACAAAAAAAACAAAACAAAACAAAACAAAACAATTTATAAATTATTGCAACCTAGGAAAGTGCTCAGTTTATACGAATACGAATTTGTTTCTTTTTTGTTTGCGCGTTTATTAGTTTATTTGTTTTATGCGGGGAGGAGTTTTTTTTGGGTCAGTGCTCCCCAGCTCCTAGGTCCTCGCTACGCCCCTGGCCCCGTTTACACTGTCGATTTTTTTGGTAATTTTCGGAAATATGAAATATTTCGTCTCATCCTTCAAAAGAGACATTCTTCTAGGAAAATCTTGGTATCCTGAAAAAACCTTTACAAGTAAATTCTTTACCATTATTTATTACGGACAAAATTGCAAAAAAATGGCAGCAAAAATCGCCGCAAAATTCGCTAGTGAAAACGGGGCTTTAGATATTCAAAATACTCTCTCTTAAACACTAATAAGCTCGAATAAATAAGCTCGAATAAATAAGCTCGGTTTTTGTTTTCGTCTATAACAGCATCTTCTGAGTGGATTTCATACATCTGTTTCTGATAGCTTTTTTTAATAATTCTCTAAATCTTACTTCCGTTAATTTGCACATCAGTTCTAAGTGTTACACTTTAATGCAGCCAATAAAATTAGGCAAAAAATGGATCATGCCATTGCCAAGACGAAGAGAAAGGCAAGGCTCTGGGGACGAGATTGTTTTACATCATTAATGAGGGGCTTATAGTTCCTTCCTCATACTCTTGTTGTGCAAGGCACTTGAGGTATGAAGACAACGAAAGCAATAGCCAAGGATAATAAATCTGGAGCTAAATATAAATTCTAACCCAGAATACAATAAAGCTTGTTACACCAAGAAAGACCAAACATAATACCTCTGCATGGAAACAATGGATCCCAAGGTGATCATATTATTACATCATTTCTTTTTCTCCTTCTGAATTATTTGTATTTGTCTTAGTATTTATTATTATTTCTGTAATTTTGTGACGAATTCATTAAAGTAAACCAAACTTAACTATGACATGACCATAACAAACCCATTTCACAAATGAAAAAGAATTTAGAGGCACAAAGTTTTAAATGTTTACCTACTATCACTGGTGTAGTTAAAGGAACTAGTTCTAAATTTTTACGTGAGGAATTAGCGTGGGATGAGTTAAGCTCTAGACGTAACGTTCATAAACTTGTACACTTTTATAAAATTGTTTCAAATGCGACCCCTCTCTATCTTTCCGAGCTACTTCCTTCCACAGTTTATCAGCAATCAAAACGCGCTCTCAGATCAAATTCTATTTTCTGTTTTCTTTTCCTTGACAGAACGTTTTGCAGTCTTTTTTCCCCGTCGGTTGTTAAATTATGGGATTCTTTGGATCTACAACCTAGGAATATAGGATCTTTGCAAACTTTTAAAAACGAGATTTGTGACAAATTTTCCCCCCCAAAATATATAGAGGATATTATATGGGCGAGCGGAGATACGAAATTTATCTTCGAGTGTTGAAAAGATCTCTCACGAGTGAGCGCAGCGAACGAGTGAGAGATTTTTAACACGAGAAGATAAATTTCGTATCTCCAAGCGCCCATGTAATATTCTGTTTATTATATAATTATCAATGAAAGTATGTTTTGGCTTTTTCAGGCAATTCTTTCCGTGTATTTATGAATAGCCATAGCAATGGTGTTATTTTCACACGTGAAAATAACATGTTATTTTCACGTGTGAAGATATCAATTTTTCGAAATAGAGAAAAATAGATATTTCATTGGTAATTATATAATAAAACAAATTATTTGATTATTCCTTTTCCAGAACAGCGTCTATTCTACACACCCGGCTTAGACTAGAAGCTTGTGCTTTAAATGAATATTTGTTTCGTATCAATTGTTCGCCTCTAAATGTGTTTGTGGGACTTCGAATGAAACAGTAATGCACTTTTTCTTTGTATGTCCTCGATTCGCTGCTCAACGTTCTTCTTTTCTTACCTCAACTGCACAGATTTGTGGATCATTGTGGACAAATTTGTTCTCAAAAAAAGCAAAAATTAAATTGTTTACTTTATGGCTTTAAGGAATTAAAAAGTAAAAACATAAAAAGTAATTACAAACTATTTTCTGAAGTTCAAAAATATATTTTAGCCACTTATCGTTTTCAATCCGACTTTGATGCTACATATTTTTTTTTCCTATTGTTATCTCATTATGTGACTGTTGTACTATTTTAGTTTGTATTTATTGTGTATTTATTGTACTTATTTCCTACTGTCCGCTTTTCCTATTTATTGTTTGTATTGTAAAATAGACGTAAGCCCCCTTGTTATGTCTCGTTGCTTTTGGGGCAAATCTTACGATAAATATGTTTAAATAAAAAAATAAAAAATAAAAAAATGTTTACCTAATGCCTTGAATGGTTAGTGATGTGGCTGCAATATTCGTTGCCACCACAACCTTACGAACTGAAGGATCAGGAGGGTCAAACACCTTTCTCTGTAATTCTGCAAAACAAGGCATCTCAGTTAGGTGTGGAGCAAATGTTGTCAAATGTTTAGGTTCGTGAGCAAAATTTACTTCCTTGGTGATATAATATCATAAAACGGTTTAACTGTTAACTGAATACATTGCCATCATCTAATGAATACTTTGTACTAAAACATTAAAAGCACATGGAAACTGAGATGGCTTGTCAGGGACCTATTTACGTTGCACAACATAACTTTTTAATTTTAGACTAGGAGTGTTCATTATTAATGGTTTGGTAGCATGCGATGGGTTTGAGGAAGAATCTGGGTTTTGGGGTTACTGTTCCACTATGTGCTCACAAGAAAAATGGGATCAAT